GGCACATGGGAGTTCTTTCTAAGCTTTCTTTGATTGATGAGTTGAATGTGAAATATAGGAAAAAAAGTATATTCGCTGGATTTTATTTTCACGGAATCATCCCTTCAGCGAAAATAGTGAAAATAAATTCCAAGTGAAAATAAAATATTCTTCAGTATATTACTTGACATGTCAAAGCCTTCCAAAAAACATTACCGATAATACAACTTTACTTGGAGCCTGGCGGGACCTCGTGCGGGATAACATTACATTAGAGATTGAAAACATGTGTTTGTGCTATACCTTCTTCAATTTATTTTCTATGACAGTATTCTCTCGTAGTATTGGAAAGTGAAATGTATCAGTTAAGTCATATATTAACAGAACAGAAGTCTCTGATTGGTCAGATACTCGATATGTCTGTCACCGCAGCATCAGGTACTAGGTGTTAACAATTTCAAAAATATCTTAGTAGTTTGCCCTAATTACACCACCTCAATCGTCTCAGTCAAAAGATCCCATTTGACTTGAACAAATGATGTTGCATGTATGTAAGTTTCTTTTGTAGCTTGCCTGATATCTTGAGGTAAATTGTAGTAAGTCTGATTTAGTACAATTTTGATCTTGGTGCTCTATTTTTTACATGTTTGAAGTTATTCTAGGCTCAGGTTTAGGAATTGGTGCATATTCATTGGTCTAAAAGTCTTAACATTGTACATGTATGTAAGAATTGAGTGAACTCCTGTCATTGTAGATGATGGTAAACAAGACCAGGATCCCAGTAAAAAAGACAAAGATGAAAAAAAGAAGACTCTGACATCATTGCTTGAAAAGGTTGAAGGATGTACGGTATGAGGAAATTACTTTATGTATAATTTCTTGCTTCAGTTCATACTGTAACTGCATCAATAATTTACAGTTTTTTTATTTCCGTATTTTTGTTGATGAGAAAAATTTGCTCAATTAAATCCATGTTAAATAACAATAAAGCTTATTTTTACTTTTCCTGCCAAATTTATAAACTTGAATACAAGTGATAGTGCTTAAATCATGAAAATATATGGTGTTACAGTACAGATAGTTTCCTTTTGTAATTTTGCAAAAAATTTTGTGCACTCGTATTTGTACTAGAGAATCACAGAAGTTCCGGGTCGATATTTGGTCCATGAGAGCGATCTGGTGGAATTAGATACAGACACTTTTGTAGAAATTAAAAAAGTTCATGCCTTCTTGTTGAATGACAGTATTATGATTACCACATATATACCACATGGGTAAGAAACTTTTTTTTACTTTATTATATAAACAATTTTTTTGTGTCTTCTTGCAATTGATGAGTTTCAAATCTTTTTGTAGGGATGTTACTGTGTGTGCTAGTGTTGATTATGCGATAGAATAAAAAGAGGTATATATTATTTATCCCATGTATCCATACACTTTATTGGCATATGAAGTTCCGTTTTAAAATATTTTTATGGCAATATTTAAAAAATTTGGTACTTTTCTCGTTGCACATTTATCTTCTCTGCTACACAGAAGGGGCCCCCTGAGATACAAGTTTCTGTCATTGTTTGAAATTGATAATTTAGCAGTTGTGAATGCCAGAGATGTTGGACGTAAGTAGCTATCAATAATCTTGTAAATCTTGGTGCTTCTTGACTTTGTGTGATTGTCAGTTACGTGTGTGTATGTGTCAAGACTCACACCTGGTTTTGTGGGTACAGGTTTAATAGCTAGAATACTGTACTTAAAATGCTAACATAGCTTATTTGCTCAAATTGACATTTGTTGCGTAGTGAAATCCCCAAAGAATATGATGAGAATATGATGTTTGTCCTTGTTGTTGTTATTGACTCGTTAAATGCCCTTATTCTATTTTCACATATCATATCCATGATGAATTACTGTTGTGTTACTGTTTTTCTCGTAGCTGTCAAGAATGCTTTCAAGTTATTGATGTTTCCTGACCAACATATGTACCAGTGTGATGGCCCAAAGGCAAAGGTAAACTAAATGAAATGTGCTTTTGCCAGTTGTATCGTCGACACTAGTGACTACCGGTATATGAAATCATATATTGAAGCCTTCTATTATATTACATAGTAAACTGAATCAGATAGATTTGACAGATCTAATTCAGACAGATAAGTCACTGTAAGGCAGCTGTTTTGTTTATGGTGGGTTATCAGAGAATTATAAGATTAAGATGAATTCATGCCCAATGTATGCCAAGGTTGTTGATCAAGGCATACCCAATCAATTTTTTTTTTCATTTCAGCGAGAATGGTTAGATATTTTAGAGTTGACCAAGAAGAGTAAATTATCTGTTGATACACAAAAGAAAGAGTCCTTGGAATCATCTTCTAGTGAGTCCTTTGACAGAACCAATCGTAAGTACAACACAAGTTTGACAGTTGACAGAATTACAGGTTGAGTGTCATGATCACATATCACTTGCTGAAATTTTCAACAGAAAAAAAACAAAATCAGTATCTGCATGTGATGTGTTGCTTGGCTCTTATTTTCACAATTTTCTTTACCTCTGAAAAATAATCAACTATAACTAAGAGTCGTAAGACTGAAATTAAACTGTAATAACCAGAGATAAGATTTCACCATGTTGTGTAGTAATTAACCACTGTCACTTGGCGCACAAGTGATAATAAAATAAATGCAATATTTATTATATGTGGCCGCCATCTTGAATACGGCATGAAACTAAATAAGAGACAAGTTGTGAAACACGTTTTTCAGAATCCTACAAATCAGGAAAAGTACCAATCTTTCACAGCCAAACGACCCGTTGGGGGTAATATTAAGCCAATCGCTAACAAAATTCAACCAAATTCGTTGTTTTTGTGTGGAAAAATCCCTTGCATATGAACACCTTATTTACATAAAAGAACATAGAATACTTTCCTGGTGTATTTGAAACCGAAATTGTCATCGAACTGTAAGGCCGTCGCTGATTGGCTGCAGAGTTGGAATGGCAATTTTTGGCATTATTCATTCATTTATTTATTTAACTTTTTGTATATGTCAAACATTCAAAACTATAAATGGTATTACTTTTCAGCTTTTCTTGAAATTAATGCCATTGTGTCATCCAATACATCAGTGGAAAGTCCTCTTCATGTTGATTGGCTCATTGAACTACCTGAAGATTTAGATGTTTTGATAGCACAGAGGGACTTTGAGGGCGCTGTAGACCTAATTGAGAAAAGTATGTATGAAAATTGTACTATCTTACCCAGTATCAGATTGCAGTAGTAATGAGTTGTGATTATTTAATAATTCATATTTAATGAATATTGTCATACATGATAATGATTTACTGTTATTTGTTTATTTTCTCAGCAAACGAGTATCTTAAAGACATCCCATCATCTTCATCATTAAAGGAAGTTAGGTAAGTATGGTAATATTAATAGAGATCTCAATCAAACCCACATTCCTAGACAGTGCTTAATGTTGACACATGCCTTTCAGGGTTTTTCTGGAAAAAAAACTGCAAGAAGGAGCACTGCAATTCAGCGGCACCACTAAGTGGGGGGGGAGATAGGGTTCTCCCTCCCAGGGTGTGAAGTTTTTGATAATTCCAAGTTAAAATGGAGCATTCTATGGCTTCCTTACTATCAAACAAATCACAGTTGAAGGCTGTGGCCACATGTGATCCCTGGTCATTCAGAATTTTATGGTTGCCAAAGGATCTGCTCCCCAAGGTAAGGGGGCGCATGGCCATGGCATGAGGGCGCTGCGCCCCTGTTCCCTTGTTTGAAAAAATCTCTGCTGATTTTCTGGCTCACAATAGTGAGAACATTGGACAAATTGAGTGTAGAGTTAAACTTAATTTCTATGTCATGTCGTATTTTAAAAGACCAGAGTATGCAGCTATAGTGAATGCACATCATGAAAAAATATTGATTTTGTAAACACAAACAGAGATTATTAAAAGTAATCTTGTGTAGCGTATTCACTCTTATTATTAGCACACAATTCATATGATTTATATGTGCATCTAGTAAACATTCATTTCCAAATATGGTATAACAAATACAATAGTACATGTATATATTAAGTACCGGTTTAATAACAAGGTTAGTCTGAAGCTAGCTATCTGATTGGCTGAAGCAAGGTTATATATCTGGCACTAGAAGACCTGCTCGAAACTGAATAAACTGGCTTAAATATCTAATTGAATCAAGACCACGAAATTAGCATATTTAAGGAGACAATAACTTTACTTACACTCTGTTATTATCTCCTGTCAAATTTTTCCCTTTGAGAGGTCTTATATTGATTATTCGCTTCCAAATACCATCCCTTGTCGTTTATAATCTCTAAATACAATTATTTATATCCTGTTATCACAGATCTAGATTAGATCATAGAGTGAAACAGTTAACTGAAGTCTTAATGCAAGAGATGCAAGTATCAGCTGATAGGTCATTACGAGGTGGCTCTGGTGTGACACGAAGAGCTGTCATGCAGTTGATACGATTAGGAAAACATAGCACAGTAAGTATCAGCTGATAGATCATTGCGAGGTGGTTCTGGTGTGACACGAAGAGCTGTCATGCAGTTGATACGATTAGGAAAACATAGCACAGTAAGTATCAGCTGATAGATCATTGCGAGGTGGTTCTGGTGTGACACAAAGCTGTCATGGAGTTGATACGATTAGGAAAACATAGCACGGTAAGTATCAGCTGATAGATCATTACAAGGTGGTTCTGTTTTCTCTGTATGTCTGCAGCTTTTCTTTATGGATAAATTATACATGCATATTTTCTACTTGCAGGCATGTCGTTTGTTTTTGAATCATCGTTCTGCTGCAATCAGACTTGCCATCAGAAGACTTAAAATAGAAGGTGCCACTAATGTCTACACTAATAAACTCTGCAGTATATTCTTTACACATTTGATGGAAACTGGTAGAGAATTCCAAAAAGAGTTTGCTAATAACACAGGCTGTTTTTCTGGTAAGTTGATATTGAATGTATTGCGATTCTGTTGAGACAATGACAGGGTTCGTATATTGCATTAGGCTGATGTGTTGTGTAGTCAATCTTGTGCTGGTTACAACAAAAGAAATAGTTCACTGTGAACAAATTTGTTTACATCAATGACGATAATTATCTGCATGTGCATCACTGATCCTCTTTCAATAATATCAGGTTATTACGAGGATACCTCAAAGTATGCATGAAGACAGTACAGCTGGAGTATCAACCAAAACAAGGCGGAGGTCGATGCAACATCGTACTGTCTGAGTGCATACTTTGAGGTATCCTTGTAATAACCTTATTATTATACATCTTTTCTTTCCAAGGATACATCATAGGAATATTGAAATCCAAAACGTTTCGAACGAAATCAGCAAACTTCTTTGTGTGTGTGGCAGCCATGTTTGTTTTTATTTATAGACTGCGCGTTATTATGCGTGTAATCATTTCATATTTGGAATTCAAATTTCCTAATATGGTAGGATGAAAATACCCCGTAAAATACTGCAAAATTACGGCGCGCTGTAACTTCTGGCGTTATGGTGACAGATGTATAATAATAAATATTACATTACATATTTACATGTTAAATACAAACATACACATGAACATTCAGACATTTTTATTTGGAATCAAATCAATAAATTAATCATATCATGCTGAAAACAATGGATATGATGAAAGCCTTATCCGACGTGCATTCATTGCTGCATGTTAGTTCCACTGTACATGTTCATGATATTATTGTTTGTTTTAGCCTTTGTGGTATGGGCCAGAGCTGAATTGAATACGTTTGTAGGTCATTTCTCAAGACAAGCTTTTGCAAGTAAATCAAATCTGGATACTGTTGCTGAATGCATTGCCATTGCTAAGATTCACTGCCAAAAGGTATGAATGAATCACTATTCACATATATGTGTATGGTAGTATGCAACATGCATCACAAAGTGTTAATAATAAATCAATACAAATTGTTACACAATAAAGAATACAAGTACAACACTCCGCAGTCTGAGGCTATTTTTGCAAAAGGAAATGTTTTTTGTCAAACCATTTTTTTTGAGTGTGTGTGGGGGGGGGGCAAAAATGTTTACAGCACAAAACTTTTGCACGTTTTTTAGGCCCTAAGCAAAAGCTTTCAAGGATTGCCAGTAGATATTGGTGCATTCACTTTGGTAATGCCAATTTTTATTTGCAAGAATGATACAATTTTTTCTCAAAAACTTAAAGTTGGGGGATACGGGAATAAATTTGCATCTTAATAAATGAGTGAGACTGTTAAATTTGCTATGAAGTTGGTTGCTTGTCACGTGATACAGGTTAAGCTTTGATTCAAAATGTCGCTGAATAGTGTTGCGTTAAATTCCCGAATGATTTTTTGCGTCTATTTCAAGTTTTCGACCATGGCTTGCGCAAAATGGCTTATTCTAATTCATGAAACTTGGATGGTGTTTATCCTACAAAAAGTGGGACATGGAATTTGGTAGGAGAAGTAAATCATGCATTGATTTTAACTCTGTGTAAACATCTCAAAGTCATCATATCCCAAGAATATATTACTACAAAG